CGTTCTCGCAGAGAATACAACAGAGAGGCGAGCCACTCGACGCATAGAAGCCGTAGAGATCATATGTCAGTATTGTCATAAAAAAGGTCACACAGCTGATCGGTGCAGAAAGATCCTAAAACAGCAAGGAAATGTTGAACGTATAAATTCTAATAATCCAATTCAATATCAAAAAAACGTAGAACATGTAAATCAAAATTATTTAGCTCCAATACAATTTCCAGTAAGACAAAATTTTCCACAAAATACAACAAATAAATTTTTCCCACAAAATTTTTCCCGACAAGCGTATAATAAATCTTTTCAAAATAATCAAATACTGGTTCTGGACAAGAAATGTTCTGTAATAATCAACCCTTAATTTTTCAAAATCAATTAAACCCAATAATTTGTCAATATTGTAAAAAATTTGGACATTCAATTGAAGAATGTAGAAAACGTGCTTATAATAATAATCAGCGAATTACACAAAGTCAGGGAAACAGATATATTCCCGACAGGAAAAGGGCAGCTTCGGGAATGTAAAATACATGTCCCAGTCGAGTAATCTCAACGGAAACAATTTCCAATTCCGAACAGTAAATCTAGCAAATATAGACGATGTACCAACAATCAAATTATCAAGTAAAGATTTTAAAGAAAATTCAAAGTTTCTAGTTGACAGTGGATCAGGGCCTAATATAATTAAACAAGGTTGTTTAAAAAGAGACATTTGGGTAAATGAAAATAAAATTTTTAAACTAAGTGGTATAACAGCGCATCATGTGTCCACCTTAGGGCTGGCACTGATAGATATCTTAGGATGTCCAGTTGCTTTCCATTTAGTGGAAGATAATTTTCCAATACCTCAAAATGGGATCTTAGGATCAGACTTTTTTAAACAATTCCAAGTCAAAGTCAATTATCAAAAAAATCAAATAGAATGGGAAAATATAATTATCCCTTTTGAGCCCAAAGAAGATCCAGAAGAAACTTTAATAATTCCAAGTAGATCTATTTCTCAAATTCATATCAATGTTATTAATTCTGAATTAAAGGAAGGATATGTTCCGCGATTGATTGTGACAGAGAGCATTTACTTAGGTAATCCTTTAGTCTCAGTACAAAATGGAAAAGCATACTTAAGAGTAATAAATACAAACGAAAAAGATCATGAAATATATGTGCCAAACATTGCAATTCAAGAATTTGAAACAAAAGATCAAGATGAATTAAATTTGGAAATACAAGCAGAAACAAATTCAAATTTACAAGCACGATCAAATACAAATACAAACTCGTGTTATCACATTAAAGAACAAAATAGAAAAGACCAAATAATTAAATTACTACGCCTAAATCATTTAAATAAAGAAGAACGAGAACATGTAAAAAATCTAATTGAAAAAAGTACAGATTGTTTTCATTTACCAGGAGAAATGTTAGAGCATACAAATGCAGTACAACATCGTATATTAACCACTGATGAAGCTCCAATAAATACAAAACAATATCGATTTCCAGAAATTCACAAAGAAGAGATAAATAAGCAAGTAAATGAACTTTTAGAAAATAAAATTATAAAACCATTTGATTCTCCATATAATACCCCAGTATGGATAGTTCCTAAAAAGATGGATGTAAACGGAAATAAACGATGGCGAATGGTATTGGACTTTCGAAAATTAAATAATAAAACGATAGGCGACGCATATCCACTTCCAAATATAACTGAAATTCTCGATCAATTAGGTGGAGCAAAATATTTTTCGGTCTTTGACCTAGCTTCAAGTTTTTACCAGATTCGCATGCATCCAGAAGATAGTCATAAAACAGCCTTTTCGACTCCACATGGGCATTATGAATTCGACAGAATGCCTTTCGGACTAAAAAATGCACCTGCAACCTTTCAGAGACTAATGGATTTAATACTTAGTGGAATGCAAGGAAACGAAATTTTCGTATATTTAGGTGATATAGTATTATATTCAAGTTCTTTAACTGAACATGCTATAAAATTTGAAAAATTAATTAATAAATTACGTAATGCAAATTTAAAATTACAGCCAGAAAAATGTGAATTTTTAAGAAAAGAAGTAACTTATTTGGGACACA